TGTGGACTTCAACTTCCAGAATTCCCCAGCCAGCATGGCTGGCTGGGGAATTCTGGGAGTTTGAACTCCACATGTCTTAAAGTTGCCAAGTTTGAAAAACACTAGAAACCTTTCAGAACCATCATTGTGTTTACCAAGTGGCTGAAATATTATGCTGAGTTCCAGGTGTTTATGCACACCCAGTTTGGGGAATCCTTAATACTTACCATATCCAAGCCCTTGGGCTATATATCTCTAAGGTACATATCTGATGAAGTGAACTTTGGCATGCAAAAGTTTGCATCATTAAAGAATTGTTGGCTTTTAAGATGCTAGAAAGGTGCCACCCTGTCATGCCCAACAGGGTGGTTTCATTTTATTTTTTTTTCTTCTATTTATATAATATTTTATTAGACTTTTTCAATACAGTGAAAGTATAAAGAGTTAAAAGAAGAAAAGTGTAAAAAATAAAAGAAAGAAAAGGAATGAAAAAAGAAAGAAAACCTAGAATTATGACTTCCGCCCTTCTTCTATCAAGTAATTGCCCTCTTATTCTTTCCTCTTCCTCTTTGACCCTTGTCAATCCCCAAATCCATAAACTATCAGTTCAGTCTTTTCTTCTTTCAACAGAAAGTCCATATAAGGGTTCCAAACTTCTTTAAAAAAAAGTCTTTATCATTTTTTCCCTGACCAAAACTGGTCAGCTTCGCCATTTCCATAATCTCCATCAATTTTATAATCCATCTTCCACTGGGTATTTTATTATTTGTCCATTTTTGTGCATACAGTAATCTTGCCACAGTTACCATATGCATTTTTTTTTCAAAATACATCTCTCTTTTTCTCTTTTTACCCGGAAGTGCAAATATACCTACTTCAAACTGCTGGATTCGTGCAAGACAGAACATCATGACTATCACTGGCATGATGGGGTGAAGCGATTTTTCAAGTGTCCCTGTGGGAACAGAGCCATCTCGCTTGACAAGCTCCCCAAAAAACACTGCAGGTACGGGAAGTGGTGGCCTACCTTTGTTTGCAAATATTTTATAAGGGCTTATCCTTGACAGAATATTGCAATGCATCTTGTCCAGTCTCCTAAAACTAAGCACGATGGGAAAAATCGAGGCATTGTTTTCAGTGCCAGATTTTCTATGGACAATCTTGGCTTTGTCCTATGATTAAAACACTGAATGAATCTTGATTTTTCTGCCTTTCTGTTTCAGCAATTGTGGCCTCTTTAAATGGGAACGTGATGGAATGCTCAAGGTAAGAATCAACCAAATGTTTGCTATCAAAATTGGACTAGAAAGGAAGCCATTTGCCCTGAAAACTATTTTCTGCTCTCAGAAAAATCCAGACAATAGAATCTGGAGTTTATGGCCTAGAAGTTCCAAGGTACAAACTACGGAGAGGTGTTATGAAAAATATTTGGAATTGGAATTGCATTTTGGTGCAACTGTTGTTAGAAGTTAGCTTCTCTTGAGAAGGCTTATGTGAGAGCATCTCTATGTCTGCAGTTAATTATGTGCCCCCAATGATGAATTGAAGCTTATCTTGATTTGAAGCAATCACAACTAATGGACATTTCCTTTTCTAGGAGAAGAAAGGCCCCAAGATTGGGGCAGAAACTCTTCTGCCAAGAGGAGAAGAACAAGCCCAGTTTCTCAACAGCATGAAATAATGGCTGTTCCCCTTTTCGGTGTTTGGCTATATCTGGAAAACTTCATGGCTTGCTTCTTGCAAAACATTCTCACACAGCCATCTTTCCTCTGTGAAGGACAGTCTGCTCAGAATAACTTTTATATTGCTTTGAAACCTGGAATGGATGAACTTAATCCTTTTTCAAGGTCACACTTCACTGGATTTTGGAAGAAGTGCTTGCTTTCTCAGATATCAAAGGGCGTGTTTAGAAAAGGACTGTGAATTCATTTCCTTGGAACTTCAGTGGAACTTCCTCTGAGATTTTTGCAGTTCAGAACGTGGCTGAAGAATATTCAGTTCTATTTTCTGAAGCTCGGCCATGCCTGGAGAAATACTTCGCCAGATATGTCTTTGTCTAAAGCAGTGTTTCTCAACCTTGGCAACTCTAAGATGTGTGGACTTCAACTCCCAGAATTCCCCAGCCAGCATGCTGGCT